CTGTTCACCTGCCCTCTGGGTATCTTCCCTTCTGCCCTCCAGCTCCTTAGACAACCTGTCCTTGATCATTCCCTTACACTGTATCACAGGCGTCTGCCCACCACAGTGCTTGTTGCTCCAGGAGACCAGCACTGGATGTAAAGTTGACATGCTGGGACCTGATATGGGATTGGGGTTGGTGCTGGGGCAAAGCAGACATATTTGTATCACTTCCTAGTATGTCTCAGAAACAGGGCTCACATCTCACATCTGGAACAGACTCTGTGAGATGATCACAGTGAACATGGCTGTGTCCCCTGCATGAACAGTGGATTTCCTCCTCCCCAGGTGGAGACAGTGACAGTAGATCAAGGAAAACAGCTACCTATGATCAGCTCGGTGAACCTGAGCTCACTGGTCACTCACAGGATCTGGGTGACTCAGGGATAACCACGGACACCCCACCTCAGTGTGCATGTCACTCAGGCAGCTGCATCACTGAGTCCCCTGCGCAGCTCCCAGCTGCTCCACTCAACAGAATCCTCTCCCTCAGGAACCACAGCTGGTTTAACCCTGAGAGGGAAGTGCTACATTGTGTCAGCTCCATGACCTGTAGCTTCTTTTGTTTCCTAAGCCTCATCAGCCTCCTCCTGACTCCAGAAGGAAGGTTCCTTCACTCTAGAGGAAAATTCACACCATCACCTCCCTCCCCTATAGGAGCTCCCTTTGTTAATACAACCTCAGCCAAGTGCTGGTGTGTCAGGGGCAGCACCAGGTCCCCTCACACTGAGGTCAGGGTCACCTGAGCTCTTCACTCAGCAAAGCCCTCCCTTCCTCTCCCCGCTTGTGTAGACTGAAGTTTCTGTCATGTCTGGTTCCACTGCCCTTTTAGCCCCCAAATAAACTCAGGGACGCTGTATTAATACTTAAACTATTGGCTGATGGCTAGGGCTTCTTCCTGGCTAATATTAACCCATTTCTATTAATCTATGTATTGCCACGAGGCTGTGGCTTACCCGGTAATGCCACAGCATGTAGTAACTCCTTCAGCAGCATGGAGTCTCTTTGCAGCACCTCTCTCTGCCTTCCCTTACCCAGCATCTCATAGCCCCGCCTCTGCCTTCTGCCTGGCCATTGGCCAAACTGTGTATTATCCATCAACCAATAAGAGAAACATATATACAAGAAAGACATTCCCCATCACACCTGCCTTCATGTCTGTGACCCATTATCCCATTTTTTAGTTCATTCATAAAACATGTATTGGGTATGAATGTTTGCAGAGTCCCTGGCACTGGAAGTCATCATCCCTCACAAGACAAAGATGGCTGCATCACGACAGAGATTATCATGATCTTGGTCATCAAACATCTCTGCTAAGACTCTTGGAGCTCCTGACTTGAAGTCATGAGACTAGAAGAAAAAACACGGGTCCCAGAACCTGGAGCAAGGGATGAAGTAATTTCCCTCTCTGGCGATCTATTTTTAAAAGATTTATTAATTTATTAATTTTATCTCTATGGGTGTTTTCTTGCCTGTGTGTATTTGCACCATGTGTCTATCTGGTGTCCACAGGGGTATTTGATGCTGTGGAGCAGGACGAACAGGAGGCTGTGAGCCACTGTGTAGGTGCTGGTATCTGAACATGGTCCCTCTGCAGGAAGAGCCAGTGCTCTGAAACCCTGAGCCATCTGTTCAGTCCCAGGATCTTGTCTTTTTTAAAAAATTAGTTATTCGATTTAGAAGCAGTCTTATTTTATATATTAACCCCAGTTCCCTCTCCCTCCCATCCTCCAATGTTCTCTACCAATCCCCCATCCCATGTCCCATCCACCCCCAGGGAAGGTGAGGCCTTCATGGGGGATCATCAAAGTCTGCCAAATCATTGGGGGAGGGCCTAGGCCCTCCTAGGTATATCTGGGCTGAGAGAGTAACCCTCTATAGGGAATGTGTTACCAAAAGTCCATCTGTGCACTAGGGATGGATACTGGTTCCCCTCTCAGAGGTCCCATAGACTGCCCAGTCCTCCTAACTGACACCCACATTCAGAGGGCTTGGTTCCGTCCAAAGCTGGTTTCCCAGCTTTACAACTGGGGTCTGTGTATTCTCACTTGGTCAGGTCAGCTGTTTCTGTGGGTTTCTCCAGCAAGGTCCTGACCCCTTGGCTCATCCCTCCTCCCTCTCTGCTACTCAATTCCAGGAGTATGGCTCAGTGCTTAGCTGTGGGTGTCTGCTTCTGCTTCCATCAGCTACTAGATGAAGGCTCTAGGAGGGCATTTAAAATAGACATCAATCTCATTATTGGCAAAGGGCATTTCAGGCAGCCTCTCCACTATTACTTGGATTCTTAGTTGGGGTCATCCTTGTGGAACTTTGGAGAATTCCCTAGTGCCAGATTCCTCTTTAACCCTAGAATGGCTCCCTCTAATAAGGCATCTCCTTTCTTGCTCTCCTCTATTCCTCCCCTGACTCAGTCTTCCTGATCCCTCATGTTCTGCCCCCTCCTATGTTTCCTATCTCTGTCCCCATTCATGTCCCTCCCAACCCCCGTGGTCCCAAGTGTTCTCAGGAGATCTTGCCCTGTTCCCTTTCTCTGGGAACCAGGTATGTCTGTCTCTCTTAGGGTCTTCTCTGTTTCCTAGCTTCTCTGGAGGTGTGGATTGTAGGCTGGTAGTCTTTTTCTCTATGTCTATTATCCATATAAGAGTGAGTACATACCATGGTTGTCTTTCTGTGACTGGGTAACCTCACTCAGGATGGTTTCTTCCAGTTCCATCCATTTGCCTGTGAATTTCAAGATTTCATTTTTTTCCCTTTGGTTGAGGGCATCTAGGTTGCTTCCAGGTTCTGGTTATTACAAACAACACTGCTATGAACATAGTTGAAGTCAGGCGTTGGTGGCACATGCCTTTAATGCCAGCACTCAGGAGGCAGAGGTATCCTAATCTCTGTGATTTTGAGGCCAGCCTGGTCTACAGAGCAAGTTCCAGGACAACCTCCAAAGCAATACAGACAAACCCTGTCTCGTAAAAATAAACAAACAAAGAAAACAAACAAATGATCATAACTGAACAGATGTCCTTGTTGTATGAATGTGCATCCTTTGGATATATGCCCAAGATTGAAATTGGTGGATCTTGAAGTAGACTGATTCCCTATTCCCTGAGAAACCACCATACTGATTTCCAAAGTGGCCCCACAATTTTGCATTCCCACCAGCAATGGAGGAGTGTTCCCCTTTCTCCACATCCTCTCCAGCATAAACTGTGATTGGTGTTTTGGCAGGTGTAAGATGGTATCTCAGAGTTGTTTTGATTTGCACATCCCTGATGGCTAAGGATGTTGAGCAATTTCATAATGTCTTTCAGCCATTTTAGAATCCTCTATTGAGAATTATCTATTTAGTTCTGGACCCTACTTTTTAATTGGATTATTTGGTGTTTTGGTGACTAGCTTTTGAGTTCTTTGTATATTTTGAAAATCAACTATCAGATGTGGGCTGCCATTTTTCCTGCTTCACAGACCTTGAAAGAAGAATACTCAACTTTATATGGAAAAACAAAAAACCCAGCATAGGGCTGGAGAGATGGCTCAGAGGTTAAGAGCACAGATTGCTCTTCCAGAGGTCCTGAGTTCAATTCCCAGAAACCACATGATGGCTTACAACTATCTACAATTCTATTTGATGCCCTCTTCTGGCAGAACACTGTATATGTAATAAATAAATAACTAAAAAAACGCAAAAACCCAGGATAGCCGAAACAACCCTGTACAATAAAGGAACATACAGAGGCATTATCATCCCTGACTTCAAATTCTACTAGAGAGCTATAGTAACGAAAACAGACTGGCATTGGCACAATAACCAACAGGTAGGCCAATGGAATTCCATTGAAGACCCTGATATTAACCCACACACCTATGAACACCTGATTTTTGACAAAGAATCAAAACATACACAATAGAAAAAAGAAATCATCTTCAACAAATGGTGCTGGCATAACTGGATGCTGACATGTAGAATATTGCAGATAGATCATTATCTATCACCATGCACAAAACCTAAGTCCAAATGGATCAAAGACCTCAACATAAATCCAGCCACACTGAACCTCTTAGAAGAGGAAGTGGGAGATACCCTTGAATGAATTGGTACCACTTCCTGAACATAACAGAGACACTGAGATCAACAATTAATAAATGGGACCTCCTGAAACTGAGAAGCTTCTGTAAGGCAAAGGGCACAGTCAACAAGACAAAACAGATCACATCTTTTAAATAAACACAAATGTAAAGTAGACTCAGCCTGTAAATCCTGGAGTCACCACTGGAGGGAGCACCAGGATTCCCAGAGCCAGAGAGGGAGAGGGGACCTTGGGCAGAGCACAGATCCAATAGGACAGATCTGAGATGACACCCTGTGGATCCCTCCTCTCTGCCATCCTACAATTCTGGTTAAATTCTAAATGATGGGAGAGAAGGAGTGAACCTCCAGGGAGGGGCCTGGAATGAGGCAGGAGCTCAGGAGACAGAAGTTCATGTTCTTAGGTCACAGTCTCCTGAGTGCATGGGCCTAGAAGGGTTCTAGTGGGAAAGGAAGGAGAAACACATTTGAATGCTGTCACTCAGGGTGCACAAGGGATAAGGAGACAGGCTCCACTTACAGGAACAAGAACAGGCCTAGTGCTCCATAAAAAGTAAAAAGACAACAGCGAAATTGGGGTAAAGTGCTACAGCCAGGTTAGAGCCCAGGCTGACCTGTCCCACCAGTCCTGGCTGCTCACACTCCTGGGACAGGACAGGACTCTGGCCATCCCTGTGTCCCTGTGATCACAGACCTCATCATGTGGTTCTAAGTGATGAGGAGAATAGAGCCAGGAGGTGACAGAGCTGAGGAGTGACCATGTCACAGCCAACAATGGACTGAGATCAACCTGCACACAGCCCTGTTCACACTCAGCTCCCACAACATCACCTGTCCCACCAGATGCACACAGCACAATGAGCACAGAGTCTGGGAATTTCTCCATGCTGCCATTTATTTCCTCCTCAACCTCTCAGTGTCTCAATAATTTATTTAACTGCCAATGAACCTGTCAGATCAAGGACGTGAACAATTAAGTTCAAATTGAGATCCTTATTTTCGGGAGGGAAGTCAGGGCATCATGGAGGTGACAGGATGTTATGTCCCCTCCTGTCTGCTGGAACAGGAGGGTTGGCCATGGAAGGGAACACAGGCAGTGCAGGGACAGGGTCCTGGTGTACAGGGCTGGGCTGGGCTCCCAGTTCTTCACATTGAGTCCATAAGATCACAGGGAACATCAGTCACTGTTGGTGAGGGTGAACTGAGAGGCCCTGGATGTCACAGGAGAGTCCTGTACACACTGTCTGTCACTCCGTCCAACCCTGGCAGCTGCCTTCATGTGCACTTTGTCCTCCCACACCCCATATCAGGTCCCAGAGTGTCACCTTGACAGTCTGGGAAAGACACTTCAGAGCTCTGGGAACTGTACCTGCCTTGGATAAAAAACATAACATTTTTTGTAGGAATGTAAAAGAAGCCCAACCAGAAGATTTTGCTGGAGGAACTATTATGGATTTCCAGAGGCCCCCACAAATGACAGTTTTACTCCACAGGCTTCAGGGACAATCCTGCTCCCCACACTTACCTGGAGCTGGAGCATAGTTCCCTCCTTTTCCACCTGTGAGAAGAAAAGCTGTGAGAGACCAGGGAGGAGCCCAACCCTAGGAAGTTTCCAGAACCTACAGAAGTCCCAGGTTAGAGACAGGAGCTGTGGGGGTGTGGATGTGTTTCCATGAGCAGAGCACACTTCTAAAAGGGGATGGGAGGGAATTCAGACCCCGCCCTTTCCTACCTGCTTTTCCCTTCCTCTTCCTCACAACAGCCATCACAGCTCCAATGATGGTCACAGCTCCAAGGAGAACCAGAACAGCAGTGACTGCCATGCTGGGGACAGTGGACTGAGGAGGCTCTGGGAAGGGAAGGACAGGAAGGGAAGGTGAGGGACATGACCCCAGCTCTCAGCCTTGACCCTACTCAGGCTCTGCAGAAGGCCCCATCTTTCTCTAACCCCAGCTCTGCACGCACTCCCTCCTTACCCCATCTCAGGGTGAGGGGCTCAGGCAGCCCCTCATGGTGCACATGGCATGTGTATTTCTGCTCCTCCCCAGAAGGTACCAGTAGAGATGCCCACTTCTGGAAAGTTCCATCCCCAGAAGGTCTGGTCTCCACCAGCTCCATGTCCTGGGTCTGTTCCTCCTCCTCCCTCTGCCAGGTCAGGGTGATGTCAGCAGGGTAGAAACCCAGGGCCCAGCACCTCAGGGTGACATCACCTTTAGGTCCAAGATGATGGGTCACATGTGCCTTTGGGGGATCTGTGTGGAAGATTTAAGAAATCCCACCATAACAAGGTAAATTGAAATCTGCAAAGACAAAATTTAATTAATGATTAAACTATGTGACCGAACACTTCTGACTGTCATCCCAATAGTGACCTGCAGGTGGAGCTAGTCCCCCTCATCACAGATCTGCACACTTTCCTGGGGGACCCAGAAGCTAAGAGGGAATCACATGACCCAGCAGGTCACATGGTCTTCCTTATGTGATATTCTACAGCATAAGTTAGGTGGGAAAAGAATGGAAGAAGGAATGGAACATAATTAATTTATATATGTGATTAAATTAATATCAAAATAAGAAATTAGGGGCACAGACCACATGAAGGGTGCCAACAACTACTGCTGCCACCATTGAATCACAACCACTGTGACCATCTTGCTGTGCAGCATAACTGTCTGTCCAAGTGAACAGCCATCACCAAAGTGTGTAGTGGGAATGGGGTGAACCTCTGACACTCAGACACAGAAAATGACTCCCCAGTTCTACCTCTGGGGGACAAGATACAAGGTGTTGTCACCCAGGATCCCTGGAAGTTGCTGTGGAGCCCAGTGCAGCACTCACTGGGACACAGCGGTGCTCACAGGGGTGTGTGGATTTTCCCTGTCACTCCAGTCCTGCAGTTGCAGAAGAACCTGTCTCTAAGGTAGGTCACCTCTGAATTCCCTGGGACAACACAGTAACTTGTTGGGGCTGAGGGAGAGCAGCGGGAGTTTGGATAGTTAATTCTGGCAAAAGATAGTGTAAGCTCATGAAAATCTTTCATTAAAGGGAAGGCTGAGTTGTCTAATTATCCAGATTAGCATTCCCCCACGACACAGGTAGAGACTGATACAGATGATAATAAAAAGGAAGTTTGAAACAGTATCACCCCAAAGCAAAATGACAAAAAGAAAAAAGAAACAACGAAAGGCAAAAGCAAACATATTTTAGAGCTTTTTTCAGGGTACCCCATAAATGCTCAATTGACCATTCTAAAAGAGAGAATTGGGGTGAGGAGGGATGAAAAAATCACTCAGGAATCTGGTACAATGATGTTTGGAAAGTTCTAGAAACTAGGCTAGAGGCGTCCTCCTCTCCCATCAGGTAAAGGAGACTTGCGGCCCTGGTGTGTAAGGCTGACACACTCAGATACTGGGTCAGGGCAGAGAGCCCGGCCTGGGAGAGGCCATGGCTGACCCAGGGCTGCAGACTGAAGGAGCCACGGCTGGGGATGTGGGCATCTTCTCTCCTCCTGAGACAGATCTGGAACCTTCCAGGGAGAAGGCTGAGCCCTGCGAGATCAGTGCAGTCCCTGCCAGGCTGGATCAGGAGCCCAGAGACACTGTGTCCTTCAGAGACAGGGGCGGGACCCCAGCTGAGGTCTCTTCTTCCTCAGGACTGAGCCCAGCCCGAGGGCAGGGGCAGGAGTCGCCCTGGGCGCCTGCACCTGGGCATAGCAGCTGCTCCTTTCCGTGCTCCAGGTATCTGCGAAGCGACTCCACACATGTGCCCTGCAGGTAGGCTCTCCGTTTTTTTGCCTCATTAGTCTGCTCCCACTTGACCAGGGTGATCTGCGCTGCTCTGTCCGCCGCCGTCCACGTCCTCAGGTCGTCGTTCAGGGAGATGTAATCCTCGCCATTGTAGGCGAACTGTTGATACCCGCGGACTAGGCGCCCATCAGACTCCACGTGACAACCATACATCCACTGGAAGGTACGAGAGCCTGCGAGGGGACACTCGAGATCAGCCCCGCAGTCACATTTACCCTCTTCGGGGCCCCTCCCCCGAGGTCAGCCCCGCCCTCCACCTATCTTTACTGAAAAGGAAACCCGGTCCGAGTCCAGCTCTCCTATCCCGGACCTTGGACTTGCACTGCAGGCATCTCCAGATCCACACTCAGGGACCTGAACGTCGTAACCCCCAAACCGGGGTCACTCACCGCCCTCGCTCTGGTTGTAGTAGCCGAGCAAGGTCCTCAGGTTCACTCGGAAAATCAGCTGCCAGCTCCTAGCGGTCTGCGTCTCCCTCTCCCAATAATCCGGCGCCTCCCGCTGCATCCACGGCGCCCGCGGCTCCATCCTCGGATCCTCGGCGTCGCTGTCGAAGCGCACGAACTCCGTGTCATCCACGTAACCGACGACAATGAACCGGGGCTCCCGGAGGCCGGGCCTGGACGTGATGGTGAGGAAATACCGCAGCGAGTGCGAGCCTGGGGGCGGCGCCTGGTGAGACCCCGACCTCCTCCCGGGACCCCGGGCAGGTGCGCGGCCGCGAGCGGGGCGCGGGGCTCGGGACGCGGGAGGGGAAGGGGCGGGAGGGTCTGGCCGGGCGATGCGGGGACGAGGCTTCCCCGGTGCCGCCCCCGCTCTCCCCGCAGACGCCGTTTCCCTCCCTATCCCGCTTTCACCCGCGCGGGTCTGGGTCGGGGCCTGGGCGGCCGCCAGCAACAAAAACAGCTTGCTGAGTGCTATCTCCACCATCTCAGTTCTGGGCGTGCGGGTTACCTGTGTGGACTTTATATCCTAAGCCAGCGGGACGCTGATTGGTTTCCTGGATCTCGACAGCCAATAGGGGTGCGAAGCGCTGCGTCGTCATCAGTGTCCGGGCAGAAGGAGCTGACACAGGTCAGGAGCTGGAGAAGTGAAACTGGGGACAGGGGAATCCCCAGCGATGGGCTTCTCCACCAGGACCTCACCGCCCTGGACCAAGACTTTGTCTGACCCTGAGCTGGGGACAGAGCGCGTTTGTCCCGGGGTCTCTGGGCCGACCAAGGCCACCTGCTCCCCAGGTCAGGATGAAACCAAAGAGCATGACGTTTGCGGGTGAAACACAGGCAGCGTTAAAATGAATGTTCATGGAAACAGACGCTGTCACAGTCCTGGTGAGTGCGTGGGGCCGCCCTGGACACCTGCATGGGAGGTGACTGGAGTTTTCACAGCTCTGGTCAAGCCCTTTGGACACACTGTGTCATGCCTGACTCCGTGCAGGAAGGACTCTCTACCCTCCTCAGCTTTCACTTTCTACTTCAGGTATGTGTGGCTGGGGTTTGGAGACATCAGTCACAATCCACAGAAACGAAAAAATTATAAATTTGATTTTTCTCCACACTACTGAACAGGGATGAAACCTAGAATCCCCAGTGTGTACCTCTGCGGTGAGAATCACCCTCTGTCCAGTGTCCACACTGCAGAGGCTGAGGAACCCAGGAGCCACGGTTACCAGGTCCAGGGTCTCATAAGTCTGGATAGTTACATTTAGTTACAGTTCCTCTCTTACTGGGGTTTATTCACTAAATAACCATGGAAGTACCCTGGAAGTGTGTGGACACGGGAAAATGTGGAGTGTAGACAGGGATCGCTGTGATACTGTATTCTGTCTCCACCAGATCTTTGTCCCAGTGGGGAAGGGGTTCCACTGTGCTGAGACGATGACCCAGGTCCACACAGACAATCTGAGGACTATGGAGTGAAGATCCGTGTAAGACACAACCACCTGGAGCCACAGACGGTCATCTGGGAAGAAACACTAGGAGTCTCAGTGTAAGCACAAGAGATGCTTACCAGAGATGCCCACTTCTGGAAGGTTCCATCCCCAGAAGGTCTGGTCTCCACCAGCTCCATGTCCTGGGTCTGTTCCTCCTCCTCCCTCTGCCAGGTCAGGGTGATGTCAGCGGGGTAGAAGCCCAGGGCCCAGCACCTCAGGGTGACATCACCTTTCTGTCCAGGATGATGGGTCACATGTGCCTTTGGGGGATCTGTGTGGAAGATTTAAGAAATCCCACCATAACAAGGTAAACTGAAATCTGCAAAGACACAATTTAATCAAAGATAACACTGAACACTTCTGACTGTCATCCCACTAGTGACCTGCAGGAGGAGGTGGTGCCCCTCATCACAGATCTGCAGGTTTCCCATTGGATTCAAATGATGGGCCGGTGGGCGGTGGCCGCGGGACGAGGGTGGGCGGGGCGGACCGCTGGGTCCCTGCAGACTCTCACACCTCCCAGTGAATGGACAGCTGTCATTCGGTGTCGGATGGGCCCCTTGTTCGCGGGTATCAACAGTTCGCCTACAAAGGCGACGATTTCATCTCCCTGAACGACACCTGAGGACGCAGACGGCGGTGGGCACAGCAGCGCAGATCACCCAGGGCAAGTGGGAGCAGGCTGGTGAGGCGAAAACATGGAGGACCTACCTGGAGCACATATGCCTGCCATTGCTCAGCAGATACCTGGAGAACGGGAAGGACCAGCTGCTGAGCACAGGTTCAGGCGCCCAGGGCAACTCCAGGGCTCAGTCCTGAGGAAGAAGAGACCTCAGCTGGGGTCCCGCCCCTGTCTCTGAAGGACACAGTGTCCCTGGGGCTCCTGATCCAGCCTGGCAGGGACTGCACTGATCTCCCAGGGCTCAGCCTTCTGCCTGGAAGGTTCCAGATCTGTCTCAGGAGGGAGGAGAGAAGATGCCCACATCCCCAGCCGTGGCTCCTTCAGTCTGCAGCCCTGGGTCAGCCATGGCCTCTCCCAGGCCGGGTTCTCTGCCCTGACCCAGTGTCTGAGTGTGTCAGCCTTACACACCGGGAGCACAGTCTCCTTTACCTGATGGGAGACGTGGACGCCCCTACCCTATGCTGGTTCCCCAACTTATACAACTTTCCAAAAATGAGCATTTTACCAGATAACTGAGTGTGATTTTTCCATCCTTCCCTCACCCCAATTCTCTCTTCCTAAAATGGGAATGGTCACTTGAGCACTTAAGGGGTGCCGTGAAAAAAGCTCTAAAATATGTTTTCTTTTGTCTTTCTTTGTATCTTTGTTTCTTTTTTGTTATTTTGCTTAGTTAGTTTTTTCTCTACATGGCATCCCTCTGTGGTCCTTCTCTGCCTAACGTTCCCAGAATTCTCTTCTCCTAGTCCTGCTTATCTTCCTGCCTCTATTGGTCAGTCAGTGCTTTATTCCCCAGCCAATAAGAGAAACACATATACAGAAGGACGTCCCCCATCACAGAGCAGAATTCACAGGGAGGCTGAGGCTGCTCTTGTCATCAAGTGCCTCATGAACTGATGCTGAGAACCAACCGCTTGTGACTGCGCAGAACCAAGACTCTTTGGTTTCCCAGAATGTCTGCTGATCACCTACTTCACCAATAACTTAACTGGCAGAGACCTCACTGCAACCACTAGTGTCCCTACAGATCGATTGAAATGAGAGAGGCCACCAGCTTTCATCTCCGTATTTATGGGCAGAAGATAAACCTGAATTTTATACTTAAAATCAGTGCAAATTTAAGCCCTGAAGCCTTTCTCTCCGAGAGAAAAGTTATAATGTTAAAACTCTATTAAAAAAAAACAAGAAAGGGGGGCTGGAAATGTGGCTCAGTGGTTAAGAACACTGACTGTTCTTCCAGAGGTACTGAGTTCAAATCCCAGGACCCACTTGGCAGTTTAGAACTGTTTGTAACTCTGGTTCCATGGGATCTGACACATTCATGCCAATGCACAAAAACTGAATTATTTTTAAAAAGATAGGGGTGGGGTTAGTGTGAGGAAGTATTTTTACTTACACAATTTGAACCCCTGAACCTCTCAGCTCATGACTACCGCTGAGCCTTCTACATCTAACATGATCTTCCACTGCAGAGCTACATTGTGGAGATGATGTCAAAGCTGGAAATATCTTTAACAAGTGTTGGTGTGAGAGGAAGAATCCAACACAAAACCACCTTGTGGCCATTTTCCCACAGCACCAGAAACCTGAGATATGACCTTGTGAACCTGCCCTGCGTGTTTCCTGAGTGAGGGTGTGTGGCGTGTTGTGAAGTGGAGCAGAGCAGGACACAGTCCGCACGGGACCTGATCCAAGTAGAGACCTGTGGACCACTCCCCTCTGCTGATCCTACAGACAGGAGTTGGATTCTGAAAGATGGAGAGGGGGAGAACCTCCAGGCAATGGCTCTGGAAGGAGCAGGAGCTCAGGGGACTGAAGCTCATCTCAGCCCGCAGTCTCCTGAGTGCAGGGGCCTAGCTGGGCCTGGAGGGGACAAGGATGGAAAAGACCTCCTACTGCCACCACTCAGGGACTCCATAGGATACTGAGAAAGTCACCATCTGCAGGAACAAAAATGGGCCCAATCCTACACAATAACTGAAAAGACAAGAATTAGACACAGATGACCAGGTGAAAAGCCACAGCCATGACAGAGCCCAGGCTGATCTGTCACAGCAGTCCTGGCTGCTCACAGTCCTGGGGACAGGACAAGGCTCTGGCCATCCCTGTGTCCCTGTGATCAGAGTCTGTCAGCAAGTAGTTACACTAAATGACAAGGACAAAAGAGCCAAGGAGACATCGCTGAGGGGTGAGCACACCAAAGCCACGTGGACTGAGCTCTACCTGTCACAGCCCCATCTCACTCAGCTCCCACAGACTCCTGTCCCCGCTGACAGTCACCACAGCAGACACAGGTTCTGGAAGATTCTCCATGCTGCCATTTATTTTCTCCATCACACTTTCAGAACTCTCTCCTTTAATCTGGACTGCCAATCTCTCAGGTCAAGGACATGAACTATCAAGTTCACATCCAGATTTTTATTTTCAGTGGGGAAGCCAAGGTGTGCAGCTCATGGAAGCATGCAGGTGACAGGATAGAGTTGTCTCCTCCTGCCTGTGCTGGACCAGGAAGGTTGACTGTGGAGGTAGAAGGGGCCGTGCAGGGGTAGGGTCCTGGTGGACAGGACCGGGCTGGATGCTCTTCACAGGAGAAAGCAGACAGCTTCCAACATTGCTCTTTCTTGAGTGAGAATGTGTCCCTGTGAGGCCACTGTCTGAAGCTAAAGACAAAGAGTGATGGACAGTCAGTATAAAGACATCTCAAACGCCCACTGTGACTCATTCAAATGTCTAAGTTCTGAGAAGTCCTGGGACACAGTGTTGTGCTTAAATTCTGAACCCCCAAAATCACCAAGAGACCCATTCCGATGCAAAAGCAAAGAGTCAGTTATTGTTGTTTAATGAGCTAACCCCATTAACTAGGGGCCATCGTATGTCCAACAGGACAGTTGGCATGAGAAGGACCCAGAGAAACTGCCAGGCAGTATAAGGGGAGTGTCTAAGGGTAAGCAACAGTCTCAGGATTGGTGCACTTCTGTGCTGGGCAATCTGTCCTGTGCCGATTGGTCAACTGGTTGTCATGTGTTTGCAAGTCACTGGTAGACCACTTTTACCATAAAGCACGCCCAGAGCCTTAAACACATCCAGAGTCCACCAGCTAACTTCTGATTGGTATCTGACCTCCTAGTGACCTGGGCAGGACCAGCAAGTCCAACATGTGCTGAGTCAGGGGCCTCCATGACTTTTCTGCAGCCTGTCATGGCTGATAAAGCAGGGGGGCTGGGTGAGGGTCTGGTCCCTTCACCAGTCTTTTCCTTTGTTCCTCAGCCCCAACCCAGGACCCCAGAGTGTCACCTTTTCAAGTCTCCAGAGAGGAGTCAGAGCTCTGGGCACTGTCCCTGTCTGCAGAAGAAGAAATGACAAGGACCATTGCGGTTACTGAGAGGATGTGGATGGAGGAGGAATTATGGGCTGTTGGGTTTCCCAACCAGCTTCACTCAACAGGCTTTAGGGACAAGCCGGTTCCCCACAGTTACCTGGAGCCTGAGCATAGTTCCCTCTTTTTCCACCTGTGACAAGAAAAGATGTGAGAGACCAGGGAAGACCCTGACCCTAGGAAGTTTCCAGAACTGACAGCAGACCCTGGCTAGAGACAGGAACAATGAGGGTGTGGATGTGTTTCCATGAGCAGAGCACACTGCTAAAAGGGGCTGAGAGAGAACTCACACCCTGCCCCTTCCTACCTGTGTTTCTCCTCCTCTTCCTCACAACAGCCACCACAGCTCCAATGATGGTCACAGCTCCAAGGAGAACCAGAACAGCAATGACTGCCATGCTGGGGACAGTGGACTGAGGAGGCTCTGGGAAGGGAAGGACAGGAAGGGAAGGTGAGGGTCATGACCCCATCTCTCAGCCCTGACCCTGCTCAGGCTCTGCAGAAGGCTCCATGTTTCCCTGACCCCATCTCTGCACCCCTCCCTCCTTACTCCATCTCAGGGTGAGGGGCTCAGACAGTCCCTCATGCTCCACATGGCATGTGTATCTCTGCTCCTCTCCAATAGGCACCTCCACAGCTGCCCACTTCTGGAAGGTTCCGTCTCCTGCAGGTCTGGTCTCCACCATCTCCATGTCCTGGGTCAGTTCCTCCTCATCCCTCTTCCAGGTCAGGGTGATGTCAGCGGGGTAGAAGCCCAGGGCCCAGCACCTCAGGGTGGTTTTACCTTCAGGGTTGGAGTGATGGGTCACATGTGCCTTTGGAGGGTCTGAGGAGAAGAGTTGGAAATGTCAGGTGATTTGTAGGGACTCCAGCAGGGTCCCTGTGACCATCCCTGTGTGGATCAGAAATGGGGTGAGGGAGGGGTGAAAAGCCCCTGTAGCTTAGACACTGGGTTCTGGATAATGCTTTCTTTGGGAATTCCTAGATATGGGTGAGAGAGCCCAGGGTCACAGAACTCTGGTGTCACCTCAGGAAGAAGGGACTTCTGCTCCTGACTGGTGGGTGGGGCTGATGGATTCAGCATCACTGAATTCAGACCCCAGAGACCTCAGGTGTGGGCAGAGAACTGGGCCTGAGCAAGGCTGTGGCCCACACAGCACTGCAGACTGAAGGTGAACTGCCTTAGTCATTTCAGGGACCTTCTCTCCTTCCCTCCTGAGACACTCTGAACTGTCCTGACAGAAGGGCGAGCCCTGGGAAAGCCAGTCTCTCATAAAGGGTCAGGAGACACTATAGAACTTCCCACATCCCATATGTGAGAAACATGGAGACAGGTGGATATTATGTCTAAAGGAGAGACACCCAGAGCTTCCTGTAAATACAGGAAGGAGACAAGGGTGTACACTCTCCACCTTTGTATTTGATACAGAGAAGATTTTATATAAGCTATCAGAAATAGACAGAAATTGGTATAAATGGGATCAAAGTAGGACAAGAAGAAGTCACACTATCCCTATTTCCAGACATTATTTTTATGTAAATGACCCTGTTGAGTCCACAGGAAAACTTTTGGACCTATTGAACACTCATGGTTGCCAGATACAAAATCAATATGAAAAGTAGCCTTTATTTATGCCATCAGTGAATTTTCAAAGAAAAGGAATTAGGAAATATACAACAATCAAAGCAGCTGCACCAGAATAAAGCATTTAGAGATATATCTAACCAAAGAAATGAAAGAACTTCAATGACACTTCAAGATATCAATACAGGAAATCATATGAAGAGACAACCGAAGCTCCTGGAGTGACAGATTTAATATTGCAGAAAATGACCATACTACCCAAATTAATCTATAGATATAATCCTGCAATACTTACAAAACTGATATATTTCATAGCTTTAGCAAAAGTAAGGGAATTTGAATGGAAGGACAAAAGGCCATGAACAGACAACAATCCTAAGGGTTAAGATCTCTGCTGGAGGCTGGGCAGTGGTGGAGCATTCCTTTAATTCCAGGGTTTGTATGGCAGAGGCAAGTGCATCTCTGTGAGTTCCAGGCCAGTGTTGCCTACAAAGCCAGTAGAAGTATAACACAGAGCAACCCTGTCTTGGAAAACAAAACAAAACAACACTGCTGGAAGGTTACACTCCAAACTCAAACTATCCTGCCAAGCTAGCATGACAAAGGCAGCCTGGAACTGGCATAAAATAGACAGGAAAATCAAAGGCATAGAATAGATATCCTGGAAATGAGAAAGCTGTGCATATTTGAGTTTCAACAGCAACAAAAATATTAGTAAAAGAGCCCTTCTACACATGATACTGCAACACTGTTTGTTTTTTAACCTGAGAAGATGAATTTAGATTCCTACCTTTCACCTTGTACAACAGTAAACTTGAAATAGAGCAAAGACCTTATTAAGTTCAAGACTTGAAACACCCAGAGTTCAAGAAGACAACCTAGGGGTTTCTCTGAGGTAGTTATAGGACAGAACCATAGGAGCTCATTAGGTCACACATCAGCATGAAGATAAAGTCTCTTCAGGGCACAGGACACAATCAGCAGAGGGGACAGAAGCCACAGTAGGGGAAACCTGTACCAGCTGCACTGCAGACAAGGGACTAGAGCCCTCAGTTTACAGAGAACTGCAGATACTAAACACCAACGAACTAACATTGTCAGTCAACCAATGGTCAAGAGAACTGAAGAAACAGTTACCTTAACAAAAGAAAACGCACAAATGTCCACTAATATTTTTACTGTGTTCAGTATCTCTAGCCTTCTTGAAAATACAGCTTAAATACGTTGAAGGCTGGAGAGTTGGCTCAGAGGTGAGGAGCACTTGATGCTCTTGCAGAGGACCTGGGTTAGATGACTCCAGCCCCAGGGAATCGCACACCCTCTCTGATCCCAGACACCAGGCACGCACGTGGTGCACCTGCATATGTGCAAGCAAAACACTCATCCCCCAAAAATAATGAAATAAAAATGAAAGTTAAACTGCTTTGTGATAGCACCTCACCCCAGTCATAATGGCTGTCACCAAGAAATCTGACAGCAAATGCTGGGAGGACATGGAGAGAGAGGAGCCTTACTGACTCCTGTGTGTGTGTGTGTGTGTGTGTGTGTGTGTGTGTGTGTGTGTGTAAACTAATAATTGTGGAATCATTTTCGACATTTCCTAAAAAGATTAATCATAGAACTACCATGTGACCCAGCTATTTTATTCCTGGTCTGAAGTCCACACCCTACTGGTGAGATATTTACACCCCATGATCATTGTTGAGTTATTCACTAAAAATTGGATTTAATCCATAGCAGATGAGTAGATAATGGAAATTTGATACACGGGTAAAATGGAATACTTATCGGCTCTAAACAATGTAACTACAAAACTACACAGGAAACTGGATGAACTTAGCATGTACAATATTAAGTGAGGTCATACAATCTCAGGTAGAAAATCTACATTGTATTTCCTCATATGTAGTCAGCAATGTATGCAGATATGTAAATAAGTTTACGTATGTGTACAGTATAGCATGACGAAAAGACAACAAGAAAGGCTAAATATTGGGAATGAGAAAGGTCTGAGTACAGGTCTGAGTTTTGAAACAGGTTATAAGGTTAATTGTTTTCCAGTTATATATCTGTCTTGGATTTTCTTTCTATCCTTTTTTTTTTTTTGCGTGTTGGTGCTGGATAAGTTCATGAATTATATTTCAAAAGGAATGTGTAAAATCCAACTGGAACTTCCACGAATTCATGATGGCTTCACCAACCATGTATATTCACTGAGAGGGATATAGCCTTTGTTCTTGTCAATTTTAGAGTGTGAGTTTTCTGTACTAAATTTTAAAAATTAAAAATAAGTAGAAAATGGGGCATTACCCCCAGGTGAGGGGTCTCTTCTTCCTCAGAACTAAGCCCGAGGTCAGAGGTAGGATTTGCCCGCAGCCCCTGCACCTGTGCGCAGCAGCTGCTCCTTCCTGTTCTCCAGGTATCTGCGGAGCCACTGCACACACTCGTCCTCCAGGTAGGCCCTTTCATGCTCTGCAACACCAGCCAGGTCCCACTTGCGCCTGGTGATCTGTGTGGCTGTGTCAGCCGCAGTCCACGTCCTCAGGTCCTCGTTCAGGGCGATGTAATCATCGCCATCATAGGCGTCCTGACTGTACCCGCGGAGGAGGCGCCCGTCCGACCCCACGTGACAGCCGACCATACTCTGAATGATGTGAGAGACTGCGGGGATCCCAAGGTCAGCCCTGCTCACCCTAGGTCAGCCTTGCCCTCCTGTCCTGCTCGTGCCCCGCCCACCCAGGTATCCTCTAACCTGAAAGGGAAACTGGTCCTGGTCCCTGGTCTCCTCCTCCTGGACCTTGGACTTGGGACCTGGCATAACTCAGGCCCTTACCTAGGGACATGGAAAGTCTTAACCTCCATCTTCACTCACTGCCCTCACTCTGGTTGTAGTAGCCTAGTAGGGTCCTCAGGTCAACTCGGAAAATCTGTTCCCAGTCTTTGGCTCCCCGTGTCTCCCTCTCCCAATACTCTGGCCCCTCCTGCTCCATCCACGGCGCCCGCGGCTCATATCTCGGATTCTCCAGGTCGCTGTCGAAGCGCACGAACTGTGTGTCGTCAACGTAGCCGACTTCCATGTACCGGGGCTCCACGAGGTCGGGCCAGGAAACAATGATGTAGAAATACCGCAGCGAGTGCGAGCCTGGGTGTGGAGCATGGTGAGACCTTGACCTCCTCCCCGGACCTCAGGCTGGTACTCAGGCCGGGAGGGGAGCTGGGCGCAGAGCTCAGGATGCGGGTGGGGAAGAGGCAGGAGGGTCTGGCTGGGCGATGCAGGGACACAGCTTTCCTGGTGCAGCCCCCGCCAAACACACAGAGGTCATTTCCCTCCTGAGCCTGCACTCACCAGCATGGGTCCTGGTCGGGGCTTGGGAGGCAGCCATCAGCAAGAGGGCACAGAGCACAGGGATCCCCATCTTAAGGGTTAGGGGGAGCCCAAGCACAGCCCTATATGGCCCTGTGCTCTGTAATTTGTCTTCATAGAGACTTCTACCAGGTTCTCTAGAAACCTGTTATGGTTGTGAGGTTGCTGTCACTGTGGCTGACCAACCTAACAGCCACTGACAGAGCAGGAAGTGAAACCAAAAGCCTAAACTTCCCAACAGGAACGCCACATTCAGCTCTTAGACCCTGAGAGCAATTTGAGGACTTGGGACTTTGTCCTGACTCCTTCCACCTTGAAAGAGTCCTGTGTGTAATACTGTCTCCCTGAACCCTGGCCCAGAGTCTGTCTGATGGTAATCCCAGGGAAACCATCTGCATAAACACAGTTGTTTTGCTCTTTCCTGTCTCAACTCCCAACTCTCCTTGATGACCCTGAGCTGCTCAGGAATGCAGGGGAGAGATGATTTCTCTTTAAAGCAGAGGCCCTGGCCTGCAAGCACCACACAGACTCCACAGAGACCAGGATCCTGTGTCCACCTGCAGGGGGCGCTCACACTGCCAAGCCTAACTGGTTGGGAATCTTAGTTCTCCATGTGTAAATGAATGGGTTAAACAGTCATATGCGGGACCTAGAGTCTCCAAGTGTTTCTTCCCAGATGAGGCATCCCTGACCCCAGCTGTGTTTTAGGATGATCTTTGTTTGAAGGCAGAGCATAGCTTCAACTCAGCTGTCCCCTTCCCTGCAGTGCCTGAATGCAGCCCAGCACTGAAGGCTGCCCACACTCCACTTGTTACTGTGTAGATGCTCCTAGGATCCGGTTTAATTAATAAACCAGGCACATGAAGAAGTGAGCGATTGGGGCTGCAGAGGTGGCATAATGGTTTAGAGCACTGGCTGCTCTTCCATGGGGACTGGAGTTCAATTCCCAGCATCTACATGGCAGCTCACAATTGTCTGTAACCCCAGTCCCCGGGGTTCCAACACCCTGACAGAGCACATGAAGTAAATTAAATTATTTAACAGAAAGACATGAACAGTTTCACAGAGCAGGCCCCTCCCACCCACAGCTGTCTGTCCCGCACTCACACTCGCAGTGATGACACAGGAGCTGATGAGAGCAGGAAGATGGATGTGCATGGTGTGGACAGTGGATCTGAACACTGAGTGGACCCTGAGCACCTCAGCCCTGTGCAGTGTGGACAGTGGATCTGAACACTCAGTGGACCCTGAGAACCTCAGCCCTGTGCAGTGTGGACAGTGGATCTGAACACTGAGTGGACCCTGAGCACCTCAGCTCTGGACAGGGGTGGG